CTGAACTAGTAGCACTGCGTAGTAGCGCGTTCAGTTCGTGATAGAATGTTCTTGACAGCATTAGAACTGCAGTCTGTGGGAGCATAAACGGAAATCACAAATGTACAGCGTTTTGTACTACTTCGCGAATTCACCTTAGCTGATGTCGTCAAACGGGCTGCACATAAACGGCTGTTCACCGGAATCCAATCAACCAACGATGACTCAGCCTTGGAGCTTAGAATGATACCTACACCAGCTTGACCCGTGAGTGCCGCATCGGCGTCTCCGGATGCGTGCAACCAATAACGAGAGGATAAGCCGGGTGCAGTCAATTCAATAACCCCGTTAGGGTCATTAATCCTAGTTTCGGACACACAACACACATCAACACCCAGTGTGTCCAAGGTGCGTGCGAGTGCAGCCTGCTGACCTGTTTATCTTAGAGTGCGGACGTTGAATGTCGCCATGGAAACGGGACAGCGTGGCCTTATAAGGAAGTTTTGCCGATAGGCGTCCGATAGGTGCTGTGGGATGGTGGCTGCAGATGGTTCTACTCCAGTAGCACTTCGGTTGCTGTCAATTAAGCTGGGAATTATAGAAGGAAGGTTACTAATGGGGGCCGGGATGGGAGTAAGAGAAAAAGGTGGAAAAGAAAGAAGGGAGGCGCCAGCAGTAGCATGCTTTCGCTTATCCGCCCTGCTGTATGCAGCAGATAAGGCGACCCTTGATAATCTGCGCGACGGCCGATGCAGGATGAAGTTTATGTTTGAAGAAAATGTCATGGTTGTATGTGGGCTGGGATACTGCCACGGCGCCCAGACCTCGACAGGAGAACGATTAGGGTCCTCATCCAAAGCCTTTGGCTCAAAAGCCTGTCCGCAAGGCAGCGGGGTGGCAGTGATTTAGTTTTACAGAAATGGATACCATCCCATTTCAAACCCCCAACCTGGAGGACCAGAAGACTGAGTTTGTCTGACCTCTCACCATCGACCAACCTGGTAGGAGTAGCTCTCAAGATGCTCGGAGGCATCACCCAGTATAGCTCAATGGGTCAATGAGGTACGCAAACCGTCGCACCACGTTAAGGTCCAGTCTCGTTGCGACGGAGGGTTAGGAGGAGCAACATATGATCCATGTGATCGTAATGACCGATATCTACTTCAAAGAGGACCGAGGTCTGAATAGTGATTGCGGATCGCAATCCAACCACACAGCAGGTACACCAAATGCCACTTGGAATTGATGAGCCATCTATAAAAAACTGGTGTTAACTGAAATGCTAGCTGCAGGGCTTGATGTGTTGGCGGATCATACGTTAACCGATCATTAGGTAAGGAATTGTGTGCTACCTATGTTGCGGAAACATGAAATATGCGGGTACAACTACTGTGGGCAGAACTGAAGCTTTGTTTTCCTGAATGCTGTGGTGGTTAACTAAGGGCATTTGCCATACGTGGTTTGGAATTTTAGCTCAAGCACATTTGCGAGAGAAGTAAAACTAACAAATCTGCTAACCTCATTCGCTGGACCAGTTTGAGAGGGCCTGTACTTGTTTATTACTACCTAGGGTCACACATCGGAAGATTGCTATATTGCCATATATAACCTTTAACACGTACATCTTACTTGCTTATTTGATGCGTACCGACCGTCAAGCCAGTTGCCATTGCGCGGGTGTTGCGATAGTCCGCGGTGTGCCAGCTGCCAGTCCCTTAATATTCCGCCCCTGTAAGTACCTACAGACCAATGGATGCAGAGTGGAGCTAACCCTTTAACCGTATCGCACCATACCGCTGGAGTCCATGGGAAACGCTCTGGGGAGTCTATGTTTGGGTGTCGGCTACGTAAGAGGCTGGACCTTTTACCAGATCTCCGTCAGGCCAGATGTCAACAACAGCGCATGCATGCGAGTGGGCGTGCACCAAGTAAACCCCAGGAATTGGTATCAAAACGAGATGTGTAGTCAAAACACCCGCACGAGCAGCTGTGGTAGCCAGGGACCGTGCTTACAAGTTCAGAACCTGCGATCGACATCCAACTGGAAAGTGGAGAAACAGTACGCAGGCACCAGGATTTCATCCGTCCCCGCCCCTCGGTCGCACTATACACTGAGGAGGAGGGAGTTGTCACCGAAGAACGTGAGGCGACGGATAAAACCCAAAAGGATGAAATCGATGATCCGACCGCTATTTGGCAACCAAAAGGTTCACTCAAGCCTATAGAACGTTACGTTTTACAAATGTGAGTTCATGTGCCACATGAGGGGATGTTATGGCCACAGGTGTAACCATTAAGCAAACAACCATACACTCCACGCGATTGGTCGGACAGCATTGCCACACTGGTTGAGACTAATTAGGCCCTGTAATCTTTTTCTGATTTTCCGTTTTACAGTTTATGCTTTCCGCTTTCGATCCATGTACCAGAATACGACATACCGCGTGTGTCATCTGGTTGTGCATTCTCAATCCGAGTTGGGAGTTACTTAATAGGAATACTTGAGAAATACGTAACAATTATGTTAATCGATGCGGGGCAATGGCGTAAACCTAAGTGGAGGACTAATGAAATGTGAATTGAACTGTTCACACGGTTCATAGGAAATTTCACGCGTGGCGGTGTTATGAACATGTTACTGAGTGAACGCTGAAGGACCATTTGGAGATAACGATTGGTAAGTATAAACCAAAAATATGGTCGACATATCTGGACATTAAATGGATCCTGAATCGCAGCATTCATATGTTCTCTACATCACCAAGACGGGCAAATGTCTGCAGTGTTGCCCACAACATCTTCACCTAGTTTGCACCCACGGTTATCGTCAGTCGCCTCAGACACGACTGCCGCTGTAGGCGGATCCGTTGACTCATTAAAACCGGTTGGCTAAGCTTTAATCAACTCTATGAGCTTTTGTTTGGCTGAATCAAGTCGAAGGAGGTTGCTCATTTTAACACTGGTGTCCTTGTCTACGAGTGAGGCTTGACGGTCTATGGTTAAGCCCCGTAGAAGCTGCGTAAGCTGTCTGTCCAAAGAGCCACGGTAATTGCGTAAAATGTTTTCCGCAGAAGATTGCTTTTGTGACGTAGTGGAAGCCTGACTACTAAATGGTTAAAGATGCTTGCGCATGCTACTCTGATGTTACCCGTATTATCATGTACTGGCAAAAGTGACGCACTTCCACCCTCTATGTGCGGTTTATGGGGGGGTGTTTGATCAGTCCTTAGGCTGTTTAGTACTGAGTTTTGAACTGCAACAAGTAGCGACCGCAGATAACGAGATGTGGAGCTGGCCTTTCTTAATGATATTCAATGTCACTTCATGCTTCCTCTAATGAACCAAGAATGTCCGCCTTCCTCCCGAACGGCTTTGCTAAATCGCCGGTTTCTTTTCGCGATTTTCCCACATTGTAACGCTTTCGGTTGCGAATGTGCTCAACAATTTGGCATTTTACAGACTATAATGCACGGTCTTTTCAAATTCGCTCACCTGATAAACATGTCGCTATCGTTCAGTTCCTAAGCTGAACGTAACGCATTGGGTCTTGATGAAATCGTATGTTACTGAATAAGACGTGTACCAGTTGGGAGATTTCCCAGTTTAGCTGAATATGTCATGTAAAATTCTAACAAAAATATTGGTTTGTTGTACACTTAGGCGGAACGTTGCAACGCATGCTGAATTCGACTGCAGTGAGCACTGTCGTCTTGCCTGGTACTCGTTTGGTTGTAACTTGTGACCTTTCCGTGTGCCGTACTCTTATCGTTTCCCTGCTTGGTAACGTTCTTTGTTGTCGTTTTTATAGCTTGGCCAACATGGAATCTTTTACTGTACAAAATAAAAGCTTCCCTGAAACTCGAGCTACCTACTGAAATCGCTATTTGGACACCCGCTAAAAACGCCTCTTCCAGATTGGTGCAGGTAATAAATATTATTAGTGAGCGTTTTTACAGCACCGATCACTGCTTCTGTCAATCTACGCAGATGAAACGCAGTCATCATGAGGCTGTTGGATGATTTGTTTGTTTCTACTTCTTCTTTATTACTATTCAAATATGGCAGTGAAGTTAAAAATACCTCTACAGCGCGTGCTTTAATTTGACCCATCGTTGGCACGGATATTTCCCCCTGCTTATAGCACCCCAACGGTATCTGAACATATGAGCTTAAGAAAGATGTCTTCCCAGTGCTGAACCTACTGCACTGTTTTGGGTGTTTGGTGTGCGTATGCGAATTGGGACGCATAAACTTTGGAGATCATAGTAACCTCTGTGAAATACCGCATTTTTAAGTTAAGCGAAGCAAATTCGTAAATATCTGGGTAACGTGCCACTTTCGTATCCAACACAGATACATCTTTTGCATTTTAGAACAGTAGGCACGCTGATGCCATCAATCTAGTGAATTCGAATAATTGTTTCGAGATTCAAAGACCTAGTGCCGATCATCTCCAGTCAATGGTAATTTACCAGTTCACTTGGTCCTGTGGGTCCAGATACGCTGGACGTACGACCAGGCACATAGGTCAGAGAATCAAGGAACATCTCCCGAGTGGGCTCAGCAACCAGAAAGATAAGACATCTTGCAGCTCAATAGGAGATCAGCTTCCCAACACCGGTCATTACGTAAGCAGACAAACGGCTTTCAAGATCCACAGCAAAGTAGCAACAACATACAGTAATGGACTTCTTGCTACCGCGGAGGCATGCATGCCGTTAACAAAACCCGACCTGTGAGTGTAAAAGAAAATGGTGTAATCGTTGAAATTTCCATGGGCAACCATCGGATGTGGAAGATACGGATCTAGCTAACAAAACCACAGGTCTTCAATTATGTGAGCAGTAATTTGGCACTTTGAGCAATTTTAATAAGCAACCAATGGTTTTTCTTTTTTTAGTAATTAATGAAACCTAACAGGGTACCCACGCTTATTACTGTATACGCCTGAAGAAGAAGAACTTAAAAACTTGTTTGCGTATAACTCGTAGCATTTTGTTATTCTCTTTGGGTGATAAGATTTAACTAACCGGGAATGCCGGTTTACTTACTGTTGTGAGTGAATCTTGAAACAACTCCTTAAGGAAGTTGTTAGTGGACACTTTGATCAACAGGGCCAAATGGGAACTGAAGTTGTCTCTACTTTTATCCAAGATGCCGTCCACATCGTAATATACAACACCCGCAAAATGCTGGATTCCGAATCTCTGAAACGGTGCAAAACGTAGGTTGTGAAACAATGAGAACACTTAGCCGATGCTGGATCTTCTTAGAGTACTAGCGTTGTTTTCTGGCGCCCCCAGTTCGGTAGGGCGATACAACTTGGACATTTTACTAATAAGCAACCAACAAAAATTTGATATTGTAAAGTTTGGATTTGATCATTGGGATCGCTGACCTTGATCGCCACAGGTTCCAGTTGTTTGCTGTCAATGATTCTCTCTCATAGGCATGAGTGTGTGTAACCTTCTCACTGAAAATACGCAAACCAAACCGCGTCAAGGGACTATTCCATTTCCATGCCAAAGTAAAGGGAGGATGGAACCTCAGGGAATAGGTCAAAACAATGCAAGGTATCTCTCGAAATGCTGCTTCTTAAAGACATGCTATAATTTATGTGTGCGTCTCAAGCACCAGCCACTTTCGTCGATTGGTAATATCGTACGATACCCTCAACGATCATGCAGCACCTATTTTTTCTACCAACGACAGTCAGTTTTGCCGGCATATCTGGTGGGTACAGTCCAAGATATCTTCACAGAAAGATAGTATTCTCGTAGCTAAATACATAGCCGCCATAATCTACTAGTAACGGTTGAATGGGGTGTAGGGAAGTGGTACTACTAGAGCGCAACACCTGACATCTAAGGGCTCAAACACCGAGACAGCTGTTAAACAACGAATAACGGGATAGTAATGTTTGTTCTGCGATACAACTTTGCACCAGATGACATGGTTGTTTGGAGTAAAATTCTATCACAGATGAAAAAGGGAAACTTCATTAGCTACCGCTAACAAGCAGACAAAATCAGTGCGGCGATCATTGTTGATGGTTAATATCAGTGTGACTACATTTCCAATACATTAGAGCAATTAAGGTGAGGAAGAGCCAATCAATCGATGTAGAAAGTGCTTTCAAATCAATAACTGAAAAAAATGTTTGCTGCTAAAACATTACCGAATGTGCGTAGGTTTCTGAGCAGGGTAAAGCCCCCGCATAAGTGTCATAACTCAAACTGGATATGATTTCATATTCGCTAGGCTACGTCATGATACAAATATTATCCTTGCACTGCGAAAAATACAAGTGCAGACGACCTAGAACCTTAGTGATTAGTAGGGGGTTTATTGTGTTTTGGAGAAGATTTGTCGCAGCTAGACTCAGCCAGACAGCGAGCACACATCCATGCAAGCGCTAAACGAACGTTTTATCCTACTGGGACTCGTCAGTAGTGCGCAACCGCCAATCCTGCAGGATTCGAACCCAGGACCTTACTCTTACGTGTCAGCAACTTATGCCACTGAGCCATGGGTGCTGGCGGGGAACCACCACCACTGATATCTAACTGCGATATAGTACGGCCCAGCCTCCACTTTCACACATTTTGCGAGCGTGCAGAAGGCAGGGCTGGCACCCAGATCTGGCAGTTCCTTCGCAAGCCGCCACCAGTCGGTTTGGGATGTAAGCTGCTAAGGCGATTACTGATTATTAGTGATATCAGTTGCGAGGAATCTGCTCCAAGACCTAGAACCTTTGTAGTTTTGTCAAGTCTATAGCATTCATTCATCTAGGGATCATCCAAGTGGCATCATTTGAATACTGAATACTTTACAGAAGCAGCAGCGACATACTATGTTGGAGAACACTCCCGATTTTTCATCTCAGAGAAGTGCGTCTAGGAATCTTCAAATTCCGACACCGACTCCACTTCGACTACGTGCGACAGCAAGTTATTCCAGGTATTCACTACTCTCCGTTTGAGGCACAGTTGACGAACAACCCGCTCGTACCAGTCCCCTCGTGTGCTGCTTGATGCGCATACGGAGCAGCGGTTATCAAAAACAGTCTCTGGACATCACTCGTCCGAACGTGCTAGGTCTCATAAGTATATATGAGCACTGCTCGTACAGCAGCGTTGTGGGCTCAGTGCTCACCGATTACTGGTTGGAAGCAGCAAGAAGTGATATCGCTGTGTAGCTGCGTCTAATACCACTCAGGTATAAAAACCCGTTATGTTGGAATGCGCTCGATTGGTTTTATGTCGGCAAAATGTTTGTCCAGGAATTTCTTGAATTCCGACACCGACTTTGCCTCAACTACGTGCTGCGGCAGGTTATTCCATACATTTACCACCCTCCGTTCGAAACAGAGTTGGTGGGCGACCCGCTTCAAATACTGTAAGACAACCTTGTACAGGTGTCCCCGTGTGCTGCTTGGTGTGCGCAGATGTAGCAGTGGCTTCAACATGAGGTAATCACCGAGGTGTAATATCTAGTGCGTCATGATGAGGTCAACACGCAATCGACGATAAAATAGGGTGTAAAGCCGCAGTCACTTACACCGGTCTTCAAACGACACACCTCGTATGCTGTACCCGCTCAATCTTTTTTACCTTGCCCCGGGTGGTAGGGTAGTATGCAGATGATCTGTACATTGGTCGAATTATTGGTCCGAGCAGGCAAGTAGCAATCTCTTTGGACCAAGTGCTGAAGCTGCACTTATACGCTCAAAGCATATGACTTCCGTTTCGGTAATGTCTATTTATGGTATCCACGGACTTTAGGTAGAAGCGTGAGAGTACACCGAGATCTTTCACGAAAGTCACGGGATGCAACCATTGACCGCTCACATTGTGGGTACGACCGTGTCCACTGTAACCAAGGCTCATAGCAGTTCGGCCGGGTTTTTCAAAGGTTTAATCTCCGCAGACCACCTAAAGATGAGGTCGAGATCCAGCCAAAGCTTAATGACCAAGCAATAAGAGCGCGTTAATGATGACGCTTCACCTTGAACGCTGCCAATGAGGATGGTCTACTTTGAAGCCCGCCAGTGAGCGCTAGTCCATTTCCTTATCAACTATTGATTAGACACCATTATTTGATTTGTTTACACTGCTTTCCGGGTACTCAATATAGTTTTCGCCTGAGTCCTTTGTCTTTTAATCTGGAAAGTTGGCCGGTAGCTTGCGCGGTAGAAGCCCGCTATCCGAACAGCCAGGGAAAAGACGACACTGGGTGCGCTGGCTACTCTCCATACCTACAAGCCATCTATAAAAAACAACGCGCAAAGCGAACGGAGAAGCAAAGACACAACGTTTATATGAATCAGGAACAAAATAGGCTCCAGTACAGTGTGTTGGGGGAAGACAATTACCGAGGGATACTAGTCGGTTAGATGAGTGTCAACGTGGACTCTCCATTTGCGACCAACAAGGAAATTTCCGATCCATTGGTGCAGTGAGCCGCCAACACCGTATACTGTCAGCCTGCGAAGGAGGACCTCATCATTTATCTTGTCAAAACCTTACTCAACTCAGCCTAAATGACGTCGACCGACTTCCCCTTGTTCAGCGCTTGCCACATATGTCCGTTTAACAACACTGTGATGTGGCGGACGTCACTCGCCACTAAATAAAGTCACTGCTCCTTGCTTCATCTTGGCGAAGCAGTGTATTCCAGCAAATTTATGCTGTACTTCTGGGGAGCATTGGGCCCCTGTTTGACAAAGGAACAAACGAAAGGCGTATGAACTGAGTAATCACTCACCGGCTCCCAATGGGCGCGGTTCCTTGAATTCGCCCCGCTGCCTTGCGGGCAGGCTATTCAGCCAAAGGCTCAGGGTGGTGTCCCCTAAGTCAACATCCTACTTCAGCTTGGGCAACCGAGTAGTATCCCGCCCTCTGACGAAACCATGGACTTTAATGTGTTTGGTTGCTTTCTTTTACTATTGCTGTACCTACTTTTGAGTCCTATGGTTTCTGATGGCTCTATATCTAATCCTAGACTGTTGCATATATATATATATATATATATATATATATATATATATATATATATATATATATATATATAGCGCTTGCAACCATTTGTGCCTCGTCACGAGCGGGTTGGTGATGCATGAGCGAGGTTCCACGAAATCATGTTGTGCGGGAGTTAATGTAACAGTGGAACAATGGTACATTACGGGTAAAAAGGCCATGCTTAACAAGGCCCGTGGGATGGAAATTACTGACGCTTCTTGAATGTACAAGTAGCAGTAGACCAATCTTCACGTACTTGTCAAGCTTCTTAGCCAAAACAGTGGTGAGGTAGATCGGGCGGTAATTGTCTACTTTGCTTTGGTCGCATTCTTTCGGCACTGAATTTTCGATTGAGCATTTCCAGTCGACATACAGCAACGTGGACAGTAACATGTTTAATAACTCAGTCACGGGAGGCCAGATGGTAGCTAATAACGACTTGAAGATCGCTGCATGGATTCCATCAGGCCCGACAGGCTTGATTCCGTCAAGACTGGCCAGCAGCTTGCGTGAGTCTCCAACGCTGCCATCCAGGCTGTCTAGTTCGGTAAGACGAAACCCGTGGAACTCTTTACGGACACCCGTTCATTTGCAAATACGGAAGCTAACTGCGCTGCCATTGCGCGCGCACAGTCCGTGATCGAGTAGACGGGCTGTCCATCTGATCTCTCCAACACTGACAAATAGAATGCAGGCCCTAGGCGCCACCTTAGTTAGGCAAAGATCTTTTTGGGAGTCTTTTTGCTAAGGCTGTAAGCTGTTATTTGAAGTTCGGCGCTTCTGTTATTGCGTTGTTGCAGAGATCTTTCTTGCTCTTGTATGCATCCTAGTCGTTGGTAGAGCAAGACAATACAAATTTTTTCCATATTCTGCGTCACAGCCGAGCCAGTATGCTATGATTCATGACGAACCAGTATGGCTTGACTAGCCCAAATGTTCCGTGCTTGAGGGGTACAAATCAGGTGCACTACGAATTTACTCCGGCCTCTATAACAAACCAACCAGCTTCAACAAGCGAATCGTTTTGTAACGACCAGTCCATCGGGCTCGCGGCTCGAGTGAGGCCATTAAAGTCTAACTTCTGGTAGTTAAGGAGTAGCTGCAGCGGAGAGTAAAAGGGCAGCGACAACTCCAAGGTGGCTATGATCGTCGCGTGGTCACTCGCAACCAGGGGCTCCGAGACCTGAATTTCACGCAGACATTGCTCACAGCTGGTCTATAGCAGATCTAAGCACGAAGAAGTCGGGTGTGCGCTTATGCGCGTCGACTGGTTTATGTGCTGTGTGGCCCTACTTTCAAACGTCATCTCGGCGAACTTCCACTCGACTTCACAATGACCTCAGACTACTGTAGTTCGCGAAAGTTGCAATCGCCCATGAATAGGAACTGCGGCGGACTAATGTGGTTCCAGACATGCGGCAACCAGCGCAAGCAGCGACTTAGCGGACTGCGATAGACCACACCCACGAGCAGCTCGCCGCATCTGAGTTGAATCGAACACCATGACTGCTCCCCTAGACCGTCAGTGCGTCGGCAGGTGTGCACGAGCCTTCCGCACAAGAAATACCACATTTATATCAGCTCGCCACCACAGACATTTTACTGTGTATCACAACTAAAGCACGAGTAGCCGATGGTCTCTACTTTTGTGCGGTTACGTCAGATTTTCATCACATTTTGAGCAAGGCCTAAGGTGTCTGGCCGCCGATATGTTACGAAGCAGCACAGCTTGTCACCTTTGTTCAACAGACTGCAAACGTTAGTAAACGCTACGTGGGGACGGCGGTAGGAACCTCCGCGCTCGCATGAAGCAGCAGCAATCTGATGACCCAGATATACGGAAAAATCTGGGTAACCACCCCAAAATTCACTATGCGGCGATTTGTTTTTCCATCGTCCATGTGCCGCTTTAACTCACTCGTCGCAGACTTGAGTTTCCCTTTGTTTGCTAGATCCCTGTCAACACACACGTGGATCTTTAGACGTTTCAGTCTATCGATGCGAGATACCAATAACTTCCACCTGGATTCTTCAGCAAATACTCTCATTGGACGAATTTTACCATCCATTGTTCTTCCGAGATGGGCGATTTGTTTTACTCTCAGCCGACCGTCACCCACATAGAGGAGTCAATCAAACATACTCTTCAAAATGTTACTGGGTGCTCGTAGCGCACCTGAGGACTGGAATCGGAGGATTTAGGTTCCGAAAAGACGATGAGGTTACTGCGCCTCAACTAGCTGTACATTGTTCTCGGCTTCCTTCTCCTCTTTACTTTCGCCATTGGTCCTCACCACCTGGCTTATCGCATGCAGGAGGTTTAATGTCGGCGAAGGAAAGCCGCTACATAAAGAAGCCCATTTGTGCTACCTAGTACGTAGAGCGATGCCACAATCATGCTACTCATTCATCAGTATACCAAAAGGAACGTATGTTACATCGTAATGTTATATGTTCACCAGTATATAATGAGATGTTACAGAGAGAATGGGACAAAGAAGGTAGATTTTAACCAACTACACCTACGGATGTCTTCGCATGTCTAGGTGAATGTGGTTGTGAGAGATCCTATCCAACCGGTTTAACTCCCTCATTGGTTCTCAAAAATCCCATCATGATGATGGAGGCTGCATAAAGCACCTGCGTTGTACTAAAGTCTGGTCAGCAAACTTTGCTCATGAACGCATTAAAAATGTCTTTCCTTTTTCTGAAAAATCAACAGATCAGCTTCATACTGCACTGTCTCAAACTATTTAAGTTTACCAGTTCCAGGTTTTCTGTAACGCGAAATAACGGGTATTGCTATTGAAAAAGCGCCATTGAACTGAAGGTAGTAATGAGCTTCCGGAAGAGCGTTTTGGTATAAACTGTCATGTGGAACGCATCAGAATGAGTTGAAATTCCTTGAGGAATCAGAGTGTGCCAACTGTGGAAATCTAGCATGTGACCTTAGATGAGAGTGCTCACATTTTTTAGACGATTCACTCTGTTTGTTGGTGACTGGTGCATGTCTGCGCTTACATTCGGAATACGCCAATTAGGTCTTGACAGCCATTAGAGAAGAACGAAAGTACTTCAGTTAGGACTACCACTGCTTAGGGTTAGTGCTTAGCTTAAAGAAATAATTGGCGAGAACGATCACAATTTTGGATGTGGATGTGGAAGTTATTGGAACTGAAATTGATGACATTACTCCTTAGCTAAACCGAAACAGCTGCAACAAAGTCGCTCGGTCCGGAGAACAGTTCAACCGCCGCGTCAGTGGGCTTTTCCATTTCCATACCGACCGGTACTTAGTGAGATGATCGACTTGAAAGCAACGTGTTGATATACGTGTGCAGGATGAAGCCTTACCAATTTGCAGCTGCTGTCAATACAATGTAAAGAATGCAAGCTGAGAAGAAAAATATATGGGCTTATAAATCAAAGCCACATCAAACATGGAAATGTACTGAAGCCGAAACACAGTCCTACAGATAGAAATGGGAAGACGTGCGAATGTTTGCATCCTGGTTAATGTACGACGTGATGCACACTGCCACAGATCATTAGGAATAAATCACGGATGGCAGTGGTGCTTACAAGGTAGATTCATAAGGATGAGCCAAACCTTAAAGTACCCGACTAGGTGCGTTAATATCCTATGAAAATATGCCACAGCACTAACCTAGAGGGCGTGCGGCAGAACACGGTCATGCTGTCGATTTATCTGGACTGTTGTTTAATTTTCCTTATATTCGAATGTTGCAGCCCAGAAATTTCCCTTTAACTTAAAAGATTTTGGCCTAAATATTACGGATGTTCATAAGGCTGCCTTACAACCTACCGACTGCCGTCGCATCATGTGACAGTAAGTTCATCAATCAAGAAAAACGCAAATAAGCGGTTTACATATTTCTCTACCTCGGTAACTCCAAGCAAAGTAATTTACAACAGCCTTCATATGAATTTCGTGGTCAGTCTAAGATGCGAATTCTACATTGACACACTAGTTTATAATTGGAACATGATAGCTTTGAATAACTTACCAGGCGTGGAAAGTCTTAATTACTGTATTCTCAGTAAGCTGGCGTTTGTTATTCAAGGAGCAAGGTTATTACTTGCATTCATTTGTGCACACTTTGTTAGCGTTGGCTGATTTGTGTGCTTTGAGAGTGCATCAAACATTTTAAACAGGGGCTTTCTCGATGTACATGGTTAGCGTGCGCTCCTGGAATATTTATAAACTTACCTTTTCTGCATTGGAGCAAGGGCGCACAAACTGTGGGTGCTTCTCGTGATGTACAATCAATTTGTCTAACAAACTGTTATCAGTGCCCTGAGGAAATTGACTCTCTTCGTCGATTAGCGCCAGGATGTTCATGGGACGAAGTGAAATCAAATCCAAGGTGTTCTGGTTGTCAACATAATCGATGTGGTTCCAGTTTATTCCTTCTGATAGGTACTCTTCTTGCTCTTGCTTGAAGATGTGTTGAACGAAAAACTGCTGCAGGTTCTCGTTTGCAAAGTTGATACATAGTTGCTCGAAACTGAATGTGAAAAGTGAAACCGGTAGTTCTCAGTCACATCAAAGGTAAACAAGACAAAACGTTGCCTTCACTTAAACGATACAACCACGAAGCCATCAAAAGCCTCGATATCATTGTCTTATGTTGTCAGTCGGCTCCGTTGATTAGCCTTGGCTCCTATCCCCACACCTCCCGGTCTTATTCCTCCAGGTTTACACTGCATATGGGATATGTGGATGGAGTTGTGGGTGGTGTAGCGCAAGCCACCCCATGTCCCACCGCAGGCTCAGGCGTCCTGTGGCTGCCTTATCGGGGCAGCAGTGACACGCAAATCCGGGATTGGATGCCGTCAACCAAGAGATATGTGCTTGCACCCATTTCAGGTGAATGTGTACAGGCGATAGACAGATGGGCACTAGTAAAATACGTCTAAGCAGAATGTGAGTCCACGTGGTCAATCAACACCGGCTTCCGTGAGAAGGAAAGGAATGTGCAACCTGACTCAATGGTAGCAGTAACTGATTTCATTTAACTATCCCAATATTTTAACCAGTTTTATATGCTTTAGCATGATGAGCACCGTCGAACATAAATTCCGTCGCAATTGTTAGGCAAGTTTGTAAAATATGTACCTACGGACAAACCCACGATTTGGACTCGTTTATGCTGTCTTATAGTCGCTTTGTTCATACTGGACTGTGAAACCCGGTGATGGACAGTGATATAGAATGGAGTAGACTAGACACATGAAAATACTTTCAACACATGTTTGTGGGATTTCATCAGAAGGTGAAACAAGTCATCAACAATTACGCAATCTATAAAACTAAAACAAAACTAGCATACCTGTTTCTGTCGAACTTCTCAAATCCGAAAATGTCAAGGACACCAACTGAGCTGCGTCTAACCGGCAACCCAACTTCGAGATGGTTCGGACGAGTGTTGTTTGAGCTGGGAAATGTCCACTCATTCCAAGTGCTTAGACGAGTGCTATTCACCGTTGGGATCGCAGATTCACTGAAGGGAGAATGTGGACGTTTAGGAGATCCATGTGCGGCGTTTTTCGCAGATTGCGTCTGGCTTGCTGGAGGCTTGTAAATGGCTGAATTAATCTTGCGCAGGATCCAGACAAACAGTTGACTGTAAACTGTTTTTACCAACGCATCTCGCAATGTACACGCGATCTGCGCAGACAGTGGAGCTGAGACGCACTCTTCACCAACAATAATGCGTTTGGTTGTCAATGCGGACTTTAACTGCTCCGTGGGAACCTATGAAAACCGTCATGGTTCTCTCAGTTGGATTCGAAAAGTGTGGATGTGTATTATGGAGAAGGATGCTTGTGTACTGGCCTACGTGCTGACTCTGGCGTTGGTAGCAAACACTTGCTTGCTAACTATATAGGCTGAGAACCGTAAGGGTTCATCCAATTATGTACCTAAGCAAGCTACCGTCGTTTATGGCCATATTTTCAGCTCGTTGAGGGCTCAGTAGATACTTCACTCTTCAGCAATACCTGATCATAATTAGGCAGTGAGAACTGAATGGCCCAGTAAGTATCATTAAGAAACCTGAGGTTACATTGGAATGTTTGCGCAACTGCTTTTATGATGGAATGACTCACCTCCAGCAACAGTGAAGCGTAGTGGATATGCTGTGTACAATTCGCATCGATATGGCTAGTGTCCATACCATTCTCCAGTGATTCTTTGAAAGCGAGATTACCAAGATGGAGGAAAGCAGCCAGAAGCAGCCAAATTTGATCCACCTCCACTTGACTAAACATCAGCACACGCATGGCTGAGTTCACTTTGGAATATTCCACAGAGTCGCACTGGTCTTCCGAATGCGTCACGCCACGCTGATTTTGAGTGAACCATGAACCAGAGTTAACAAAAGCATCCGGATGCAAACTTAAATAAAGAGCGCACTCGGATGTAGCACTAAGTAAGATACAGCTTGCTACTGCAAAAAGAAAGAAGTGCAAAAATATGCTTGACAGCATTTATCTGGCGGGGAGCACGCATAGCACGGTGAGTTCAGCTTGGAGGCAGTGATCGCCGAATCCCGGTAGTCTTAATAGCTTGGAGATAACGATCCTGTGAGTATCATGCTCATCTCAGCAACGTGTTACGCTTAACACAAACAATAGGCATAGCCGGTCGGCAGGTCCTAAGGCGATTCCAATGCAATCGCCCTGGCTACAATTCGTTCACACAATCTCGTGCACATAGGGAAGCTCTGCACACCATAGTAACCTTGGGAAATGCTCGCTTGTGGCCGTTCTGATGAAATGAAATCGATTACCTGGGAATGGGAGACCGGAGGCTAGTTTAAAGGTGGAAGTAAGCGACACAAAAATGAGGAGCTGCTACGCTTGTTAACGCTTTCCGAACACGCTTGCAGCGGTAACGAAGAGAATTGCATGCACCGACTGGAACAAAGCATTCAGATTGGCATATTGGCTGATTCAGTAGACAATTAGAGGAGTTCGCTCCACTTTCTAACCCAAATCAAATTAAAACCAAACTAGCATAGTCAAAAACAACCATCTATTCTATAAAGTTTCCGAGTAATGGTGGGGCATACATGCAACAATTCGAGCTAACCAGATATCCATTTCCTCTGTTGTACTAACCGCCCGGTCGTTCCGATGAAACAAGTTGAGCCAGGCGTCTTTGACATGCGTACGCCGTCGTGCGGCTGTTTCCTTAACCAAGCGCCGCCAGCCAATAGCAAATCGTATACATAGTAGACATAGCAACGTGTACGCATGCATATTAACGGGGGTGTAGAGGAATAACTACAGCTCGGATTTGCTCTTATGCGAATTGTCACATGAGCGGTGACGGATTACATGACGGGGATGGTGGTGGTAACTTGTTAGTGTCTGAGGTCACCCACAACAGGCTAAGATGAAACGGCATCAGTGTATGGTAAGGAATTTGGGCGCGATTCACAGCACAATTATAACAGAGAACATTGTCGAATAAGGCCAATTGTAATCGGAGTTTTCCATCTGCCCAAACATTTACGTCTGTCAAACCCCTGCATGAACTCTCTTCTTTACCAACATTGTCGTTTGGTGTTTCACTACCTCTGGTTCCTTTATGTCCGAATTACACATCATTCATGTCAGCTGCATCACCCCATGTTTGAAAAGCGTTCTGCTCCGCTTGTCTTTCTACTCTCTCCGTGCACCCACTCCCATTCATACACGCTTCACTTCCACTGAACTTGACATCACCCACTCGCTCGCACGCCCATTCTTGTGTTGTGTCCTGACACGAGACGATCTTGTAGATCTAATTAGAGCCGCATTGGTCGGCACCATTGTTCCGATTCCACGACCTGTCTGTAATCTTTGCATGTTTCCTTATGCTCGGTGCGAGATCATTTGACTGTATTTTGGTTCATGGATCGACCTAGGTGATTTGACCCAGAGATTGCTTTTGCATTGAAGTGCCTTTGGGTGCATTTGAGTCTGGGAATCCTTAAGGTACTGGCTGTATTTCTATGATTATTTGTTCAGTAGCACGATTATCTCAGTTCTGGTTTTGGTTCTTGTTGATCTCCCGACGGGACACGCGTTGCTTTACTTCCCAAGCATTTGTAACACTTACAGTGCTTAACGTCCTTGGAATCTTTGGATCAATTGCTCAACGGACTTCCTGTCTGAAGAACGTCAACGTTTGATTCTCACTTAAATCGTGAACTTGCATGGAAGGAGGAAACCGTTTGTGAAGGTCTTGGAAGCTGACGAAGAACCTCGGCAAGTTGTGAACTCGTTTTCCATCGCCAACGATGCCGTTTCTTGCTCTGGTTCGCAGCATAGTTGTAAAAGTAAGGTTAGTTTAAGTCCTCGTGATGTATTGGTTTCCTTTAGATCAGCCTAGCTTAAAAAAGAAACATTTAGTGGCTGAGTAAGAAATAGAAAATAAGAGGATTATTCTGCTGGCTGAAAACGAAAAAAGATGGCTGGATTATGTTTGGAGTTGGAACGGGGTGTTGACGGACTGGATAGTCAAATTGCAGCCGAATGTAGCGAAGTAACAAAGAGTGTGGGGATTGGACAGTTTATCGACGACTATCAGCAGTGAGCCGTTTACTCCCCGTCGACCAAATGAAATCCTTCCGTAGTTCGCAGTTGGATCTACCTAGAGTAGAACTTGAGTTTTTGACGGTAACCCTGCAATCTACTAGAAGTTTATTAAAAAAGTTGAGTATTTTGTCGAAAGTCGCGTGCAGGACAGTGACCAACATTTGTTTTATTTGGTTTACTATTGCAAGGGCCGGGCAAAAGAGGCAAGCAGTGAGTTTGTCATGTTACCTCCTGAGCAGTCCTACGACAGGGCTAGAGCCATTCTTCGTAAATTGTTTGGCCAGTGCCATGTTTTTGCCAGGGCACTAATCGAGGGTTTGTTTATTGACTTGAGAACACTTGCTGGAGACCATGACGATGTCTCGTCTCTTCATAACGTTAGACAACTGTTATGTGGTCCTATCTAAGACGAATTTTACCGTAGATTTAAATACTGTAGCCGCAATCGATGGAGTGGTTCGGGTTTTGCCAACCACGCTGCAATCGAGATGGGCAAGCGTTGCAGATTCTCTTGCTCAGTTAAGAGGGAACGTGTCATTCAAGGAACTGACATACTTTGTCGCTACCGAGGCTCGAGTGGCACGTAGCAGATTTGGACAACTGGCGACTACAACCACTCTGTGTCCTCAGAATGCCGCACAATCGCAATGGTCGGGTGACAAACGCACCGATCGTAAATTTGCCTTTTACACCTCGTCGGAGCAACCCAGGAGACTAGAATGCCTAGCGTGCAGCGAAGAACATGGCACCGCCTCATGCCCAACATTCCTCTTTACGGACATCCCCGACTGGTGGGACCTCATAAGATTCAAAGGGGGACATTACAACTGTTTGAGACCAGGCCATTGAGCTATGAACTGTGGGGATATTAAGGGGTGCAAATTATCCTCATATAAAGGGATGCACCATCCCCTGTTGCAAGCGGTAAAAACACCTATTTCTACGCAGAAGACGTTACACGTTTTTCATACCGCCAGTTCTGCTTTTGAGAAAGTCTGTCTTGAAGTAGTTCCGATACTTTTAGTTGGTTCCTTGAGATTGGACGTGACTTACGCGCTGTTGGACAATGGTTCTGACGTAAGCCTTGTCCAAGGAGGCTTCTTGCATCAGATCGGGTTAAAAGTTAATGCTTCGTCTTTGAACGTACAGACATTGAGTGGGTTTGCATCTTTGAACGTAGGTCTTGCTGAGTTCCGTGTAGCGGCCCTGAATGACTCCGATTCGCTTACTGTTGAACGAGTTTCTAGCATGAGGCGCCTACATTTGAACCCCATAGCGTGCCCCATCAGCCAACTGGCAAGCCGTTGGCCTCATTGGTCTGATGTTCATTTTACTGATATTAAAGACACTAGATTTCGAATTCTTCTGGGAGCAGATTTCGCTAAAGTCCACTGGTAGCTAGAACAGCGTCGGGGCGGACGAAAACTCCCATTCGCTGTGAAAAGCTTGTTAGGATGGACGTTACTTGGACCTGTTTGCAGGATCCAGCAGCCCTTTTATGACCTTGAAAGGGTGAACTCGGACAGCTGCTCTTTATACGTAGACGACGAGAAAGCCCTATCTATCACTGAGTCTTCAGTGGGACTGGTAGATGGACAAGTAAGCAGTAATCCCTAGGAAAACTCGGCGAGTGGATATTCCCAACAACTATGAGTCAAGTTGGTTCCCACTGCAGCGCTTGAGCCGCCGACTAGTGGGTAATCAATCGTCACGAGAAAAATACATCGAACCTGTAACGGTGAAGGTTAGGAAAAAGTGTGCGCTTTTACCGAATTCCGATATCTCTGTTGTGGACGAATGGAAGGAACAGCACCCCGTGCATATCGAATTCGGTACACGCTTCAGATACTTACAGCTACAGCTCCCCGCGACATTTGCATACCGATAGCCGCCTTATTGAATTAGTGACTTACGAACCGAAACAGTTAAGACGTCCAAATGTTCTCGTCTACCTCAACGCACATCAGTCATCCAGTGAGGTTTGTCTCTCCCTTCGATTGTATTTGAATGCTAACATGCACCCAACCTTTAAGACCGTTGCCAGCGACGCAAACCTTGGCGCCAGTTATATGAATGATTATATAAGCTATTTCATTCGAGACGTAATTACTGAATCAGAAGTGCCTTTGGGTCCTAAACAAGAAACCTTTGGTGCAACCGGTTCGGGTATGTGGGCTATCTCAACGGACTCTGAGAATAATTCCCGCGGACGAGCAGACCAAAAGTGGCCCATCGGAAGCATTGCGACTCTTCGTTTTGTGGCGATGCACCGCGCAGCTGCCGCGTTGCAGGAGAGTTTGAAGCCACCCTTTCCATCTGACTCTCACCGCTTTACACTTGATAAATCTACATCGCCCATCAGTCTGTCTCAATCGATTCCATAGGGGAGTTTCATTGAGATAACAGAACCTCAGTAACTTCCAATGCTATACCTAGGTGCACTCGGTTTCACTATTCATCACTTTTGGGTAGTTGTTCACGTTGCTACGAGTTAGCACGGAAAGCTATCCAGAAGAAATCGCAGTTGGCTTCTTTAGATGAGCTTTATCCAATTTTTAGTAATGGTGTCTTCGAATTGTTGAATGATAGCGCAGTTGCAACAAACAAGTGGGATCCTGGTGGTACCCCGGCTTTGGTCAGTCCATCAGGTGCGGCGACGAATCTAGTCAAAACCAAGGAGGAGCTAGTCGAATCAGACGTGTGGAAACATTGTTTGTTACAAGGAAGTGAAAAGCATAAAGCAAAAGTTCCGGCTGTTGGCTCTTCGCAACTGGGAAGCGGATCTTCGAAGCTGCTGCCCCAGGGAGGATCACTGTGAGTTCAACAGCCGAAGTGGGAGGATTCAGGCGCACCGGTGTAAGTCCTGTGACCTCACATATTGGATGGAGCTACGGTATGGCGATCCAAAGCAGAAGCGTATAACAATCATTCGTTGGAAAATCCGGATCGGATTTTGTGGGCAGTGTAATCGGCTTTTCCTGTCTGCCCAAACGTTTACGTCTGCCATACCCCTGCATGTACTCTCTTCTTTACCAACATTGTCGTTTGGTGTTGCACTACCTCTGGATCCTCTATGTCCGAATTACGTCTCATTCTTGTCAGCGGCACCACTCCATGTTTGAACTGCGTTCCGTCCCGCAGACGAATATGTTTTGGAGTTAGCATTGATCGGAAATCACTAATCCGAATTATTTGTGTTTCAAGCGCAGATGGGCAATAGATTTGGATACGGGTAGATCAGCGAAGAATACAGAAACATGCAAACATGACTGCAGTTGATATATGGTTTTGGCCAGTTGCTTAATAAGTCACAGCAATATGGACGACAGGACGTTGCTGAATATGCTCATGGATGCGAGTTTTATCAGTGATGTTAACCAAACTTCTAAGATGGATGGAAATCGATGTTGTAAAGCGGCCTCCAGATCGGATGCGGTTGATAACGACCCCACCACATGTACGTCGTGTTTGAGAGGAAAATGCGGGGAGTCCTGGTCTCGGGATAGGTTTCCAACAACATCCGAACACACCATAGGATTATGATGCTAGGTGAATTCAATGTGACAAGCATGGTGTATGCGGTTAGGCGACGCGCTTTACTCCTCAGTTGCGTCTGTGCATTTGATAGCTGGCAAGCCAGTCTTTCCGTTAATCTACCTGTAACCGAAAGCACGATTACAAGTTTATCTTTGGCTGCAACTCATTTCTACTTGGGCAAGTGCAGCGTCTCCCACTACTAAATTCGTCAAGGAGAGTGGACTCTATATTCGGACTAAAATGTGACCGCACATCGCATTCCTCCTAGCGGACAAGTCATCTGCAACTAATCAGTTTTCACTTCCTTCTGGGAGGAGGGGCAGAGCCCTGTAAATCGGTCACGATGACATAGGCTCGGAGATAAAAGCAGTATGGTAGAAACTATAGTCGGATAACCGATATCTCGGACGCCTCCGCGCGAATACCAGAAGGAAATCGGCAGCTCTGGATGCCTCATGAAACACATGCGGTGAGTTGCAAACTGCACGCTCACTGCCGTCACTGCCACCAGGTTGTGCTATCTCCCATGGTGAGCTGTTTGAGCTCGGTGTTCAGAGCTCAGCATATAGTTACAGGAATTGTACGGTAGTCTTCCATAACTTAAACACAGCGGAAACCTGTCAGTTGATGATGTGCTTAGTGAACTTACGGATGACATTAGCAGATTTGTGCATGGTATTCCGGATATGCGTCCAATGCGCCCCAACGTCTGTGAGGAGAGAGCCGTTCAGAATAGAAGGTAACGAATTCCCAAAGGCACCCAGATTATTTGGAACGACAAGTTTGCCTACTTCAATCTGTGCCCGTCGATGCTGCTAGGTGCCAACAAAACACAGGGCAATTCTAGCACACACAAGCCTGTGATCAAAAGTGAGCTAAATATTTTAACTTGGTTTGCTGTCCGTTAAACAGCATCGTCAATGGTAATCGATGACAATGTGGTCAGTCTGCGTCTACAAGTGTGATCAGCACAGACATTTGGCACTCGATCTCCTTAATCCCGAAGCCTAAAGGTAACCAGCTTGTCTCCTTATCTGACGGTACGAGTTCGAGCGGTCGACCGAGCACTATCTTTAGCCTACGTGTGACGGGCGGTGGTTGCACAGCAGCGAAACGTCGGTACTGTGTACCGGCGTGCTGCTGACGTCTTTCTTTTTCTTCCTTAATCTTTCATGCCAATACCATGGTAATCCAGACTACCGACATCTTGTTCCTAACCTTCGAGCCTACCAATCGGTGCGCTGAGGTCCCCGACGAGAAGCACGCTAATTTTACCGTGATTCTTGTAGAGTAGGTCGGCAAGTTGAGAGTAGAACTCATATTTCGCTGAGTCCGGGCTGCAACCCGTGGAAACATTCACTGTCGCATCAAACAAACAATGTTTCGTTGCCTCGCGGCTGCACGATTGTATGGAGGGTTCTAGCCGAATAGCACAGGGTTGGTTATTAACTTGAATCCAAACAAGTAGCGTTGCTTCTGCGCGCGCATTAAACACACTGCGTAAATCGGTCTGGTCTGTGGCTTCTTCACTTATGTCTCCCTATAAGTTTGGCGGTAATGTGTCCTGCAAACAATCTGAAGATTACGTAGCTTCATGTCCTAGTGTGTTGTGCACATATAGTGCTTTTCATTTATCCAGGTAGGGAACGGTGGTTAACTTATGTAACCAGAGCTAGCGCCTTATTTATTAAAGACCTTACCCGCAAAGCAGTGAGGCGATAAATGTAAATCGCGAACCGTCGAGAGCCGGTAACACGACTTTCGAGTGGCAACAAACTACCCGTGGTGCCGGAACAGTACAAGTATAGCAGTAAAGGGACTAGGTAACGTTTCCTGGAACATCCGACTGGTTGCTGAAGGTGAAAACAGTCGATAGCCAGGTGGCTCAATCGCCTTCCTAGTGTTCGATGGTAGCCTACATAGAAGCGAGTAGTAATCGAGGTTGTCCATCCATCCTCCGCTAAGTAATTCGTTACGGCTTAAAAGTTGGTGGTCACTCGCCCTATAGCCGGAAACATTGGCTTTGCCACTTGGTTGTACGATCTCTTGTGGTAGTTAATACGGAACCAGATGGCCAGGCTCGAACTCCTCACGCTCTGAGACGCTGCGCTGATTGTCCGCAGCTGTCTATTAGACACACCTGCGGAATAAGCGAGACTCACTCATACTTGCCCTCAGTAGGAAGATCTTCCTCGATTCGCAACCTGCGTGGGCACGCGACGGCACACAACGAGCCCGCAAGTCGCTCCCTATGCAGACATCCCATTCTCAGCCTCGTCTTGCATCACTACTCCTCTACCCATAGTACATCATGGTATCACAGCAAGATTAGTATACGCCTAACTGTGGCATCACCATCATCTTTGGATTTTGTAGTCCACACCCTACCAACCTACGGGACTCATTGAGCATTCACTTCGTTGCCCCTACTAAACAATACTCCGTGCAACTTTTACACGTTGCTGCGAAGCGCATTGCATGCTAGCCGTGGAACAACCACTAAAACAACTAATATATCGGCTGCATTACAATCTTATTGCCCATCTTCATACATCGCCCGTCGCTATCGCATAACGCCAGGAAGCTTTCTGCGCTGCGGGCAAAGCACCAGTGCAGGTGTCTATGTCCATCGGTGTACACGCGTTTTGACGGTTTTGACCAAAGTAACCTGTGAACCCCGCACTTAAATGCACCACTTGTATTGTGCATGCTGCCCCTTGCACGCCATGTGTCGCCAACACGAGATAGATGGTACGGACAAGCGCCTGGGGTTTAGCCTAGGAGCATCGACTGTCGGCCGTGTCAGAATGGGAGTGGCTATTATCCCTATTCGACAACGGGCTCTATTATAATTGTGCTGTGAATCGCGCCCAAATTCCTTACCATACACTGATACCGTTTCATCTTAGCCTGTTGTGGGTGACCTCAGACATTAACAAGTCACCACCACCATCCCCCGTCATGTAATCCGTCACCGCTCATGTGACAATTCGCACAAGAGCAAATCCGGGCTGTAGTTATTCCTCTACACCCCCGTTAATATGCATGCGTACACGTTGCTATGTCTACTATGTATACGATTTGCTATTGGCTGGCGGCGCTTGGCTAAGGAAACAGCCGCAGGACGGCGCGCACATGTCAAAGACGCTTGGCTCAACTTGTTTCATCGGAACGACCGGGCGGTTAGCACAACAGAGGAAATGGGTATCTGGTTAGCTCAAATTGTTACATGTATGGCCTAACATGACCCGGAGATGGCATGTTTCGTACTGAACTCCTGAGATCAACCCACACTCGCCGCTATCAGGTTTGTTTAGTAATATTTTTCAATTGACGGGAATGACTGACAAAATTCAATCTGCTGAGCTTATTGCAACTGGGTGTTCAATTCTATCCAAGTCACCGCACTCGACTGAAATCTTTAAATTCACTGACACTGCGGGTTTTGTGTGTAGCTCGAAAGTTACGTGACGTTGTTACAATACTGGGGTCGTCTTATGAGCAGTTCTCGCCTTTGCGGAATATCATTCGAAATGGACTGCCGTTCGCATTTTTGTAAATCTTTGTCGTCCTTGGTGACTGAAACGTTTAATGCTTTAATGCTAGCTTAGGTACGGCTCCGTATTTCACCGAATCTTAAATCGGTAATGGCAACCTAGTTACCAGACTACATGACAAACGCAGAGTGTTCACCATTGCGTCGTGACCGATGCCATAGCAAGGAGGAGGGGGTTCGCGACTGTGCATTGAACAGAATTGGAGGCTGGTAGTCTTTCGAGCACCGGTGCACGCAGCATTCCTAGTGTAGCGAAAACGACACGACAAGGGGGTAGACGTTTATTGTACA